CCCCGAAGCTGCTAGACCGGGAACCTGTGCAGAGAGGGAAATCCCCCCCCCCCACCGCTGTCACTGCCCCAGCTGAGCCCAGCCCCTGCACCCTGGGGAAGCGGCTCTGAAATGTGGCAAGGGAGGTGCAGGGGGCACGAGGGGATTCTCACCTGTTTTGAGGGGTTAAAGAAGTCCCTGAGGCTCCCTCAGCACAGTCCAGTGTGGGAGGAGGGGTGCAGCAGCTACAGCTCTGCACCCATCCTGGGCTGTGTACACAGGAGCGTTTCAGCTGCCACAAGTGCGCCCATATCAGGAAGCTTGGTTTTCCTTCTGCTGTTGCTATAGGCCAAGTGGTTACAGTCCCATGTAGTGCAGGAGTAGCTTCAGTTTGTAAAGGCAAAAAACCCCAACAATCTGGAGATGCAGCCTGGTACAGTGATGGCCATGGGGGCAGACAATATGCCTAAAATCTACAAGTAGTATAGGTCTGAGCTGTGGTAGCTAAAGATGCCTTGTTCTACTCTTGCATTTTAACAGATTTTAGTACAGTTTTGCTGCCATACCACACAGCATATATCAACTCTTTTTCCTTTTTTGTCTTGTGTTTTGAACAGGTGTGGTGATTATCCCAAACTCCCTAACCGATCTCAAGAAGAGAGAGACCCCTGGTATTCCTGGGACCATGCATTTCATAGACGAAACTGGGGAGAGCCGGTAGGGAGTCTGGATCTTGTTCTTGTCCTCAGCTTGCTAAATTAGAGCTATTTCTGTTTAGTATTAATGATGCATGAATGAAAACTTAATAATGTATTTAATGTCTTCACTGTCCAGTTGCATTCCAACATTTTGAGAAGTGCTGTCTGTGAGAACAGAGGGTAATCTCCTGTGGTGTGTAGCCACAGAGGTGGAGGAAAACAGGTCGAGAACATCAGAGCGGTACCCTGTTGTACAAATGTCAGGTGATTTAATACCTGCTATAGTAAGAAGGCTAAACCAGCCATACTGGGATTTGAGCGTGCATCAGAATCAAGTTGCTTCAGACGTGTTGGCTAATAAGCAGTCACATCAATGCAAGTCTTTTCAGTTTGGCCAATACATTCATTGCTGCCACTTTATTCTATATAGCTTTAAATGGAATGAATGCTGGGTGGCTGTCAGAAGCTGTGAGAAACTTTTGATGCTGGAAAAAAAAGATTTTTAGAACAGCTCTCCGTATATACCATGTTCCTCATTCTTGAGCATCACATCCCAATAACTAGTAACTCGTACGGATGAGAATATATGGTTTTCCCATGGGGGACTGAGTTGCTTAAATCAGTCAGTGACAGGAGCTGTCCCTTAGCAAGAGAACTAGAGAAAACATTAGCTTTTATGTGTCTGTGCAGGGTATCCAAAGGTGTCCATCAAAATAGGATAATAACAGTTGGAGAGGGGCGATTTAAAACAGATCAAAGAAATGTTTTTCACATAGCAACATCACAGCCATGGTGTTTGTGTGTGTTTTCTTTTTTCCTGTATGTTGTTAAATAGCCATGAAATCTTGATGAAGATTCCTTGTAGAAGGAACATAGATGCTGCCAAAAAGATTTAGGGCAAATGTGGGCAAAAAATTGCCTACAGACTGGATCTGGCCTGTTAAGGGATTTTTATTCTGCTCGCAGCAGGTCCCTTGGCCATTCCTGGCCCAGGTTTGTGCAGCAGCCTGGGCTGTGGCACATGTGGCTGGTCCTGCTGCCCCCAGGTGTGCAGTGGGGTTGGGGCAGTGGCTAGATTTGCTTCGCAGCAGCCCCCACAGCAATGGCTCCCTCATGCTGCTGCTACCAGTTTCTGCTGCTGGACCTGGCCCAGCTTCCTGGGCAACCATCCACCCTACTACTGCTGGGGAAGCCAGACAGAGTAGGTGGGTGGGGTCTCCATGGAGACCTGCCTGGGACCCATGTTGGCTGGGTGGATGGGATGGGGCTGCAGCCAGCCAGGGAGCAGCATTTGGGAGGGGTGCACAGCCAGGGACAGGGCTGGGATCAGGATTATGAGGCAGTGACAGTGTGGGGCTAGGGCCAGGAACAGAGCCGTAGTCTGTTCCTTGGACATCCTTATGACTGGCATGTTTCACGGGCAAGGGCATGTGGGCAGCAGATCGTGGCTCTGCCCCAGGCCCCAGCCCCATGCTGTCACCACCCTGCAATCTGGATCCCAGCCCCCCGGCCCTGTCTCTGCCCACCTGTCTCACTCCTGGATACTGCTCCCTGCCTGCCTGCCTGCATCCCTATCCCATCTGCCCAGCTGAGTGTGCTCTGCCCACTTGGGTCCTGGGCCAGTCCATGGAGACCCCAAGATTGCTGGGCTCTAACGGTGTGAGGCTGGGCCCTGGGATAGAGCCACAAGAGTTTTGGTGATACGTTGGCGGGGGGTGCAGTTCTCCAGCCCAGACAGCTCACCAAAATTCCCTAAGTGATCCTTCAGCGCAGATACTTGTCCACCCCTGGTTTAGGGAATCATCTTTTTGTTGAGCTTTTGGATACAACTTCACAAATTGCTGAAGTCATTATGGATACCCATGTATGGTGGGCTGTATTGCCTGAGAAAAGGATTCAACTGCTATTTACTGTCCCTTAGGATGTAGAGGACTGGATTTGATGGCCAGGGAGGCCTCTTCCAATCTAATGTTCCTGTGAGATGAGACATGCCTGTTGCTTATACCCTGTCCTTACCCTGCCAATCGGTGGAAAACAGGTGCTTTCAATGAGATGAGACGTGTGAAACAGTAAAGCTACTTTTTGTTGCTGTGTCCTTACTCATAAGAGTTGGCCTTGTTGTAATGGTAGGAGTCTCTTCTCTTATCACATCAGACAACTGTGCAGTCAGGTCTAGCTTCTGTGAAGTAGAACTTGGGGTAGCTAAGGGCAGTACGTGGTCAGATATACTCAGTTGTCCTTCTTCTGGTTACATGTTCTATCTAGTGACTCCTTATACTTAGGTTGTTTGATACAATTTGGGGGTGAAGGTCTCCTCTAAGTGGAGTTTTAAATGTATTTGTGTTCAGCCTGTGGAGGCCATAATCCCACTCCCAAACCATTGCTAATCAGACAGTACCAAATAATAGTGACTGTGACTGTGGCTGTGCAGGCATGTATGTGGATGTAGAACCTGCTCTGAAGTGGCAAGAAGTCATTTGACTTGGTAATTCTGCTCAATCCAAATATGTCTTGGTGCTTGAACACCCTTGTAAATCACTGAGCGTTCTTTCCATGCCTTTTCAGGAACACCATGAGAATAAATGGAACAGGTTCTGAGACCCATCGGAAGTGGTTGAGTAGACAAAGATGGGGTCAGGGAATTTTTATACTGATGTAGCATCACCTAATAGGAGTGGGGTAGTGGAACTCAACCTGATACAATCTAATGTTTCCAACTGGCTGTGAACTTGGACAGACACAGAGAGTGTTAAGTGACTTATCTCCACCTGTAAAATGGGAATGATATTTTTAGCTTTCAGGTGTGTTTAATATATATTAAAGTGCTTTACATTTCTCTGAGAAATGCATAGTGATGTTGACATAATGCATAAATGATCTTCTTTCTTTGTCATTTAGATGCACTGGGACTTTGATATGTTTATCCGGTCCCGTGTTGACACAACCCCCGAAATGTTACCTTGGAACACCGTGGTCAATTGGACTTTATTCGCTCTGGCCTGCATTGCAGTCCTGTTCTGGGTTGGACATCATTTTCCATCCTACATGCCTGTGGTGAGAAATGAGATGGGGCAAGGGGGAAATTATTTCTAGTAACTGCTTTGCCTGTCCCTTCTAGATGTTCAGAGAGGGGTCCTCTCTGGACTCCTGAATTCAAACGGAGAGGCAAGAATTTGATAATATGCACATGTAAGTTCTGCTAGCTAGCTTGGCTCACAGGTGATTGTTCCAAATAGGGCTAGCATGATGAACTGAGCAGAAACAGATTTTTCTAATAAAATGTCACAGTGTTGGCTGAGCTAATATTACAGTTTTTCTAGACTTTGTGTATCAGACTATTCATTTACCTTTGTAGTGGCTGTCTGAGATCTTTCTGGTTTGTTCAGTCCAAAAGGTCTACTTATGTTAAACCACATTTCCCCCTCCTCTATGTGGAGTTAGTGCTTCTCTGTTGTTAAGGATACATGCTAGATATCCTCTAACTATATGGGGCATAGAAATTACCCTGAACATGCTGCTAGAGGATGAATAATGCTACTGAAATATATTGAAAAATGACAGTTTGTGTGTTCACATTGTTTTAAAGCCATTATTAACCCTACTTTTAAAACCAAGTGTTCTTTTTGGAGGATTTTGATTATTTCTAGAACTTAGAAACTTAGAACTTTCTAGAACATTGTACTTGCATGCACAGTGCTTTTAACACAAGTGTTTTCAGCCTTTAGACCAGTGTGTATAAAAAGGAAAAAAGGGGGGGGGGGGAAAGAAAGGAAAAAAGAACCAGACAGATGGCATACAGCCCTATACCAATGTTACTTACTTGAACCTGGTATAGAATTACCCTGGAAAAAACTAGAGTGGAACTGCACTGTTGTAGGTCTGTGTTTCTGCAGTTATCTGGAAGGAACAGTTTGCTGTAGGTAAAGGGCTTATTACTTGCTTATCTGCCACCTAGTGGTGGGGTGCCGTAATAGCACCTACTGTGAACTTGTTTCCCAAGTAGCTGATGGTTTGTCCACTCGAAATCTTGGTGTAACTTGCAGAAATGTAAAAAAAACACAAGTTGTACAGGTGGAAATAGGGCCTGGCCACATGCCAATTCTTTGACTTCAGTATCAATGTTACTCTCTTCCCCTCTCTTAGAATTGAGCAGAATAGGTAGAATAAAAAGCTAGGACAATGTGAAAGTGGATTCATGATGTATATTGCTTCCTTCATGCCCAAAGAGTAACAGCTGCAGAATGATCTGTTACTCCTTCTCTGGCTACTATCCCGTTTAGCTAGTGTGCTGTGTAAAATGTGTCTTACCTCTCTTTTCAGGTCAAACTGCATTTCATTGTGCTTTAGACTTCAATTTATGCCTGTGGCAGATCCAGACTTTAAATTGTAGGGAGCAGAATAGAGTAGATTTACCTTTTCGATAGAAGTTTCTGAAAACAATGTTTTAGTCTGCTTTTTGACTTTGGACAAGCCTCTTAATTTTCTTCTATCCCAGATTTCCCATCAGAAGAGCAAAGTGATGCTTGTTTCAGAATAGTGCCATAAGGCTTGCTTAAGGTGGGCATGTCTACACATGCATTTACTATGCAGTAAGTGATTTTTAGGCTGTCGTGTACATATGCAGCTGTTAATGTCTTAAGGTGCCATAAAGCTGCTCACCATCAACCTGCCCTGGTCAGCACCCTGGACAGCCCCAGCTCTGGCTCTAACCTCTTCCTTGTGTTCCTGCCTCTGGTCCAAGGATAGTGGGCCAGAGCCCAGCACACAGTACATGCTGCTGCTGGAGCTGCGGTTCCGGCAGCAGGGAAAGGCCCTCCCCCAACTCGCTGCAGGGGAAGGAGGCAGCACCGTGCGTGCAGGGGTGGGGTTGCGTTATCTGCCTGCAGTGCTTGGTGCTGCTTTTCCTGCCCCATGAAGTGAGCTGCTCTTGTTGGCTCAGCCTGGGCAGGGTTGGGGCTGGGTCTGGTCCCAGCTCCCAGTGCTGGTTTCTCTGCAACATGTACCTCTGTCCCAGGCACGTGCTGGGCTTCCCTGCTACCAGGACACTGTCTGTAAGAGCAGATTTACTCCTGAGTCGGCATAAATTACTGTGCAGTAATGGTGCACATGTAGATGCACCCAGGGTGTTGAAAATACAAAACGCTTTGAGTAAGTATTTAGTAGTATGGTTGGTAGATCTTTCTTTTTTTCTCAGCGTAAGTTAAATATAAATAGGTGACAAATAGCAGAATCAAATAAACAACTTAATATCTGTTTTCCTTTCCAGGGGCCAAAACAATATCCCTACAACAACCTGTACCTGGAACGAGGTGGTGATCCTAACAAAGAGCCCCCTGTAGTGAAGAACTATGAACTCTAAGTCTTGTGAAATGCAGCTTTTCTCCTGGGTCAGCTACTCTGGAGTTTTCCACAGTGTTCAAGACGGGATATGCTAATACTTGTTGTAAAAGGTTTAACTTCAGATAAATGCATTTATGCAATCTTTTGTGATGGCTTTTCTCTGATTTGGGAAGGCCAGTGACAGAGCCCTGTAATTTTATTGCTTTGAAGCAGGCTAGAATCCTTTGTATATTATGCTGCTTTTGGGAGTGAAGGGGGAAGCATCTGATAGTTATGGTCCTGTGTGTAATATGGAAATGGGGCATTAAGTAAGCCCATTGTTACTTAGGTAGGCAACGCTGCCTGCTACCTGGAGGGGAGGGTGTTTAGTTTTTTAAGTGTTGCCAGGAAAAGACAAACTAGAACACAGAATTCTACTATGTACTCATGGATGGGTACAACTTTTTGCCTAGCCAGGGCTCTGGGGTTGCCAATTTTAAGAATAACAACTTTCCCTAGGATTTTTGGTCTAACTTCTTCCTTTGGCTTAAGCCCTCCCTGACATTCCAAAGACACATCCTTAAGTACACCTTGATTAGGACCACATGAAGCTTTGAAGCTGTAACCCTCACTTGAGATGCACCTTCTATCTCAGAAACCTGAGCTCATTTCAGTGCCACTTTGTGTGATGGAATCTTCTACTTATAACCACTTGGACACATTACAAGCAATTCCTTGAAAATCTTGGCTGAGGTGGGTGCAGGGAACGTTGCAGCTACATTATGCAACCTTGAAGTGAGGTAAATCTTGAGACAGTACCATTCATATAGTTGTGGCCTTAGTTTCCAACTTCAGTGCAGGAGTAACTCAGCTTTGTATTACTGCCATTTATACTACAGGACATGATTACACTTCTGAACTGACTGATCAAATGCTTCTTGGAATTAGAGGGAGGATGTGTGTGATACAAGGGGGAGACAGTTATTTGTGTAAACTGCAGTTACAACTTTCTCCATATCCTGTTGTCTGCCTTTTTCTTGATGGAGCAGCTACTGTTCAACTTGGTTGTAATAGTTTGCAAACTTACATAGGACTTTGAGATACTTCACTGTCCAAGCCATGAGTAGTGAAGTATCCATAAGGAGTTATTTTAAAATGCATTCAGTGGTTAACATGTTTAGGTTGCAGTATTTAAATTTGGGTACTTCCCATGGCTTTGTTATTTTTATTTTTTTTATTTAGGCACTCAAACTAGCTTAAATTCTTATGGCTGTTATATTTTAATGTATAAGTAAGGCATATATAACAGCCTTGTTTATTACTTTTCTTTCCCTTGGAATGGTGGTCCTCAGTCTTTGCTGGCTTGTGGGCAGCAGTAACAAGCAAGTAGCATGCTGCAGGCTCTCCCTCTTAGCCTTAGGTTCAAACTGTCCAAATTCCTTGTAGCTGTGAGTGGTGTCAGCAGCAACATATTGCCCTTCAGCTGTGGAGAGAGGACCACTGTACCAGAATGCTTTAAAAGCACTTTCTAAGCTGTGGGTATCTAGAAGCCTGGCTTTTCCTTGGTGTTTTGAATTTCTGTGAAAATTCAGGATGTTTAAGGGAGAATTATTTAACTTGCTAGTGAAACACAGCTATTTCTGGTAGACCATAACACTGGTGCAGAATAGGTGTTCCCCAAGGGTTGGAGAGGAAGTGGCAAATGTATTCACATAAAGTAGTAGGGAATGTGAGTGGGAGACATGTCTGAGTCAGATTGTCTTGCTTTGTCTTGTTTGATGCTGTACTTGCATAGGCCTGGACCTGCCTGCCTTTCAGTTATCTGTGGTGACCTAAAAAGGGGTTTGATTTGTTCAAAAACAAAGTCAGCAATACCCCGTCTGACTCTCTCTTCTTATAAGCCCATCCCATGGAACTGTCTTT